CAATAACATTCACTCACACTGCTTAAGTTAAGCAAAGGAAATATAATCGAGACCTGTGTGCTGGGTAATGCTCAGGACAAGAGGTGCAAAATAAAAGTATTTTATGGAATGCCAAATGTTTATTTTTCTCAAGTAAATGGGAAATCAATGTTGCTACCGTCTGAAGAAAGAACTATGGATTACCTATAATCTCATGATGCTCCCTAACAAATCACTTTCCAAATCAATCATGCTGTTTATGGCATTACATTAAAAACTACTGACATTTTTCATATCAGCTCACTTGATGAGTGGAAATACTCACTGATACTCAGTAGAGGTGAAGCCCACATGTGAAAATGGTCAGCAATAAAAAGGCCTTTGACCAAACACTAGATGCTAATGAGGAGACTAAGGCATGAAGAATGCGACCTCTGATGTTCACCTGAAACTGGGAAATAAGTTAATTCTGAGCCTTGGTGGTTCAAGTGAGGTGCCTGTGTCGAAGGTGACATAGTGTAATTGAAGAAGTTCTCTGATTCTATTCAAAAAGCTCTGACCATGTTTACCTTGCTGGTAAAACATCTGTCTCTGTTACAGCCCTGTCTTCTGGGGAAAAAAAAATGGTGCTGTTACTCTTGGGGCCTTTGGAGGATGGGGCAGAACGGGTTGAACTAGCAAAAGCTGTGGAATGAGGGTATATTTTGTGTATAATACAAACTAAACATCCTGTCATTTACACTGAGGTAGGCATGCTCTTAAAATACAGTAAAGCTGATGCCTGGAGATGCAAGACTCAGAATCTACTCTGCAGGTTTTATGTTGCTGAAAACAGTAGATAGGACATTTTTCACTGCATTACAGAAAATGCATAAGAAAATAAATAGGCTTTTATGGTGGTATTTATTGGGTGTGAATCCAGTCTTTCAGAAGTGAAGTTGGATGCCTTAGATCTGTGCACTGCAGGTCATTCGGTGTTGCCCTCCACTGGGAGCAAGGAACAAGCCATGAAGTAATTTCAAGCGAGCAGCTTTCTTGAAAGCCGCCCTGTCGTGCACCGATGTGTGTTGTTAAATGAAGCACCTTTCAGCCTCTGCCTGTACATCAGGGGCACAGAGGTGGCCAGCAGGGGCACCTAAAATGCTCCCATCTCTCAGCTGTTTGATAGCTGAGAGAAGAGCCTTTCATTCAAAAGGCATGGGCAGCAAGGTGGAAAAACACATCCCTGTTTCCACTTAACCACCTAACTGTTATGGTGGGCTGCACATTGCAATCCACCTCTTCTAGGTTTCTTACATTGTTATCTGAGCTGTTCTAAAAGCTGCGTTTAGTGCTAATCTCATGTATTCTCAGTAAGGACAGTGTAATATGCCCCCAGTACATAGCACAGACAGAAAAATCGGGAAGCCCTTGCCACCTTAGTGCAGCTCTGGTGGAAGTGCCCGCCAGTTCTGCCACAAGAGCCCTTGCCAGCCCAGCAGCTTTGCGCAGCACGGCAGGCACGGGGCCACCGCGGCCTTGGCATGGCACTGCTGCTGCACTGCAGCCTTGCAGCGCGCCATGGGCACGGCCATGGACACGGTGGTGCCAAATTTGCCACCACGGCCTCCCTTCGCACAAGGGTTAAACTTATCATATCCCCTTCCTGAATGCTGGTTCCGCAGCGGTTACTGTGATCGGATAATCTCTGCCAAGTAGATTGTATTTGGGGATGAGAAGGCAGGGAGCAGCATCTGTGTGTTGGGTCAGCAAAGCAGCCTTGAACACGAATTCTTGCATCCTCGTGACAGAGACGCTTTGCAGTTCTAGGCGATCCATGTGTACCAAGGAGTAAGACGGTATCGTTCCAGGGATGCAGTGCATGTGTCTCACTCTGGAATCAGCTCTCAGATTTTTGGTGTCTAATTCTAAAGCAAAGTTTTCTAATATCAATATTTAATAGCTGGCTCATTCTTAATTCATTTGCGTGCCTCCAGTGAATCAGCATGCTACATAAGTGATAGCTGTGACAGGCTGCCTGCATCAGCAGGAAGGCTTCACGGATGTTCACAGGCACTGGCATGTTAGATAAGAGGAAAACCTCTATGGATGTTACCCACATGTGCACAAACCCCAAGGTAGCTTTAAGTGATGTCATGACTGCTGATTTTTGTTTTTAGAAGATTTTTATTTGGGTCATTTGGGAATTTAAAATGTTGCATTTCTTTGTTGCTTTAATTACCAAGACAAATCGGTGCAGGTTTGAAAGTTCAGTGATGGGCTGGTTGTGTCCTTACTCTGAGCATACAGATACAGCTAAGTGGTTTTGAGGCTGAGGTGGGTTTTGACCCTTCCAAGTTGAGAAAAGTGCCACAGGGTTATATGTTTTACTGTCATTCTATGATTTGATTCTCTCAACAGACTTTTAAGATTACATCTTGGTATCAGAGGTTGAGCTGAGGAGAGGAAGGTCCTGATGGCCCTGATGAGCTTGGAGCTGGTGGCTGCGCTCACCTTGCAGAGCCCCACCTGGGGATATTCCACTGACTCGGTATCTTTTCACCAGTAGCCAATGAACAAACTGCAACTGCCAAAACCAGCAGTTTATTCAGCTGGTAAAGACCTTTTTTTTTTTTTTTTTTTCCTGTCTTATTTTATCTTTTGGGTCAGTGTTCAAGAGTTGAATCCATCTGGGTATTGAGCTCAGCCCAAAGCATTGATGGTGCTTCAGTCCTTGCTTTGATATCTGACGTAAGCCTGAGAGAAACTGGGGAGAAGAGTGGTTTGCTGGGAGAGTATGAGTATTCTTGTAGTTAGCAAGACCTTTGTCAGCCCAGAATATTCCAAAATTTTCACTTTTTTTTTTCTTTTGTGGTTATTCGGGTTTTCTGCTGCTTGAATTTATTTCCATCATACCAAAATAAGAAAGAATCGTCTCTTCATCTGATTTTTTTATTTGTACTGTCCTGAAAAGATAGTGAATTACTTATATGACAATCAGTACCTAGCAGATGTAACATTACTTTCTAATGTCTTCTATGCAATGTTTCTTAATGTAAAAAATAGCATAACAAAAGGAAAGAAAATCCTGGACTTTAGTTTGTCAACTTTTTCTTGTAAAAGAAAGTGAAAAATAATTTGTCACAGGTGAGAGATTGCATCCTGCAACTATAAAGAATGTAAAGAGAATTTAAAGAAAGCTTAAAAAAAAAAAGTTGTACATATTGTTATCAATTCCTATATAAAATAATTTACTATTTTAAGACTGTTTAAATAATTTATCTGTATTTAAAACTAACTTTTTAAAAATTTTACAATTAGATTTTTTTGGCATTAACACTTAAATAAATTTATTTTTAAATATTAAAAAGATTTTAATATTCAGTACAATTCAATATAAAAACAGAAAAAGTAATGTACACCGTTCACACAAAGTACTGTACACGATAGCTGAGCTCTAGAGTGAGCTTTTGAAGTTGTCAGGAAAGCCGTAGCTCGGTTGTGACGAATCCCTTGGACATCCAGCTCTCTCGACTCCAAAGATCATAACAGATCCTTACCATCACTGGAGATTCTATTGTATTATATACACATACTGTATACAGTATTTAAATGCCATCTTCTATGCCYGGGTTTTTAAATATCTTTTTCCCTAGCATTTAGATCAGAATGTTTCTAGTACATACACAAGTATATTTAAGACATACACAACTTGACAACGATACTACCAGTTTTCTCATCTCAGTGATAGGAAAATGTAACTCTTAAATGCAAAGTAATGTGATCGAGAAGTCTCTCCTATTTACACTTTGTAACCATACTGTGTTTGTGTTGGCAATAAGAACATCAGGCTTCGTGTGGCCGCTTGGTGCTCTTTGCTCGGTGCGGGCAAGGCAGAGGGCGGCGGAGCAGCCACGGCCGGCGTCTTAGCTAATTCGTCTAACGCTTGGTCTGCGACAGAGTAATCCCAGTTTCACTGACTGCAGTGGGGCCTCATTTAAAGACCAGTTACCACTCCCTGGTATTTAAAGAGCAGGTACAGCCTGTCATTGGTTATAGAGTTTGTTATCAAATTGTAAATTGCTTTCCATATTCTTCTGTAAATAACTGTATTTTAGCAAGATGGTTTCTGCTGATAGTCTAAATGGCTTTTGATGGAGAAAGGGTATTCGGATGCTTCCTTTACAGAACTTCTATTGCCATGTCCCATTGAAAAAGAGAGTTGATAAAACATATTTCTTTTTAAAAAAAAATCTTATATAGATGGACCCCAAAACTTTCCAAAGAGCAATGGAAAGTTTGGCTATTCAGGCTTATTTACTGAAGGAAAAATATTAATGCAAATCAACATTCGCATCAGGAAGCCTCTTCCTCTGACAATGCTCAGGAAAGCAGGCTGTGCCTGAGCAAGGCTCAGGTTGTGTATCCTCACAGTTCCTTATTTGTATGCAACCTACAAACCAGAAATTAACTGCAGGAATTACGATGTTGTTGCTTTTTAGTCTTGCTAGAAAAATACCTTCCTCAAAAGTATCTGAGGCAGGAAAGTTTCACTAATGCAACAGGAGGACTCAAATGCCTTCCCTAGATGTTTGCAGTGTGTGTTGAGGTTCTGAATGGTCCTTTAAGAGGACAGTAGTGCGTAAGAAAGTCTGTCTTGTTCTGACTTGGGCGGGGGAATGGACTGAGCAGAAAGGGTATAGTTTCCTTGTAATAACATATTATAGTCACTCAACAGAAAGATGCCTCTAAAAGGCTATGCATGCAACAGGTCACACATTTATTTTTGAGGTTCTGATCTTGATCTCGAGCCTTAATGACTTGTTTTGCTTTAGATTTGACATTTACACTTGATTCTATAGAGAAGAAACGCTAATATGCTTTTCCATATTGGTGTACACTTAACAATAGAGAGAAAAGTGTATTTTTAATAAATATAAGGCAGTTTAAATCCTTTTTTAATGATAGCTAGAAAATGTCTTTTGGGGAGAAAGAAGAAAACAGCTCAGCAGTTACTGTGAAAACTGTTTTAAGAATTCAGGCCAGCCTTGTGGGCTGAATCCAGAGAAATACACACATTAGGTGCTGTATCAGCTAAACTTGCCTCTCATAGGAATTCTGCATCCTATATTAGGACAAATGTTCCCTGCACGATGCGTGGAAGGAGTTACAGGGCTGAGGAGTGAGCTGGAGTAGAGTTCCATGCTAGCAGTCACCAAGGAGCAGTAACTGAGAGGTGTGTGATTTTTTTTTTTTTTTTTTTTTTTTTTAAACCCTTCTTCCTGCACTGGTTGTGATTTCATCCATTTGATTTTAATCCTTTCCTAAATACAAGTGCTTAGAATCTCTTCTTCAAATTAAGATGGGCTACCTTTATTCCTTAAAAACAAACTCAGGAAGAAATGACCTTTCCAACATTGCCTGCCTATAACTTTTTAGAAGAGCCATTTTGTTAATTTTGGGTGCAAAACTGATTCATTCCGGGGGGGAGGGAGGGCGCCCTGCAGCAGGATGTGCCAAGGAGCTCTCTCAGGCAGCATGTTCATGGAAACGCTGCTGTGCTTGCAGAGAGCTTTGGGCTAGGGATAGGTGCAAGAGGGGACAAAGGAATGAGGGCAGTGGGCAGCAGGATATTATTGAAAATAATGATTAAGTAAAGAAAAAACAATTTGATTTGTTACATATCATACCTCAGAGAATCATGTTTTAGCTAGGAGTTAAGCAAAATCTTTGGAGACGGCCTCTACAAAGTTTGGTGCTGACATTAAAATACCAATTGTACAAATGATCGTGAAGACTGAGAAAGCCATCAAGCAGAGTCGATCCACTACAGAGGCCGCAAACTTCCATTCATTGCAAACGGCTTCCTCTTCATCCTGGTCTCTGAATCGGTTTGCGATGTAGCGGACCTCTTCCAAGATCTTAGCCAAATCGGGGTCACCTTCAGAAGGGTGGCCGCTGTGCAGGAGGTTTTCCTCTTCTGTTGGGGAGCAGGTCATCCTCCCACAGATCACCCCAGAATCAGTGGTGGGGGTGCAGTGAACCCCTTCCAACCCCCTAAACCCAATGTAGAGCATGTTCCCATTGCTGGATTGCTGCCCGCTCACAGTGTTCATCTCCACGCTCGACAGGCTGCAGCGCCGCTGTTTGTGTTGACAGGCAGGACGCACTTTGTCTTCTCCTGGTCTTTTCATCCTCAGAAACCAAGCACACCAGTTCAGAAGAATGATCCTGGTCTGGAAGAAGATGACTAAGAATAAGCATTGCAGTACACGACTACGGTCCTCACTAGCTGTTTGCATTTTTACAGCTTGAATGACTGTCAGATCCCCTGCACAGCAGTTCCAGAAGGTGGTACAAAATTTTCTAAATGATTCATTTGCCAACCACTGAGTCTGCTTCCTACCCCAGCAGTGCTGTTGATGGCCTCAGGCTGCTGATACACTATCTAGAGAGTCATGTCCCAGTCCCCTCTTCATCAATGGCAATCTTCATAGTGCATAGTGATATTTGTTAGCCTTGAACAGCGATATTACAGCCCTTTYAGCTTTTACTAGAAACTGTTAATAAAACATATCATTTATCAAAGAACAATTTTTTTGAATAGTATTTTGAAAAGCAGCTCTGCTTTGGGTTTGGTGAGTCCTTTCACTCATATGTCTGCTTTGATACTAATTTTGCTTGACATTTCTGTATGGAGGGGACTGCAAATGGGTGCTATGATGAGTAGACCAGAGTGCTAAATTTTACCAAGTTTTGGCTGTGTTGTCCCTTGACTGTCATACCAGTTGATGGCAGGTTTTRGAATAGAGATCTGAATATAACACAGGGAAGATGAAAAAAACTTTTCTTATATATTTTTAAAGAAATATTGCTAAAAGCTAAATCACTACATTTCATTTTATTGTTTTCCATATTATATTAAACCAGCCTGACAGAAAGTGCAGGCAAGCCAGAGACTGCTTCAGTTCAGACTCAAGCTTCTATAATTTATTTTAGTCAGTTTTCGAGGRCTCATTTCAGTGTTTCTTTTTCAGAGCACTAATGAAATATTATTGTCTCATATAACATATAACTCTTGCACTGTAATTAATATTAGATCTGGTTGATTTATTCTGACTGCAGATTGCTACTCAGAGTTATATCAGATGCTATATCCAGCCAGGCAAGCATCCAAACCGAAGGCAGAGCTTGCCTTGTTGTTTTATTTCTGTTACTTTACTTCACCTAGAAGGATAATGTTTTCTTAGCTGAGGGCCTGACCTAAAAGCCATCAGCATCAAAATAAAGAGTAGTAGACTTCAGCTTCTCAATATCAAAGCTCACTCTTCAATATCAGAGACTCTTTCTTCTGGGGATGTTTGACCCAGTACTATGTATTTCTCCTTTGTAGGTCACCAAACATCATCCTAAAGACGTGCACCTTTTATTCTCTTCTTACAATTCCTCTTTTGGCTTGCTCTCCCAGGACGGGCTGGAGAACTTCCCATTTTCCTGGATAACGATAGCTCACGTTTTTTCCAGAGAGCAAAAAGGGAGAAAAGTCTTTCCATCTTCACCAGTGCCTGGTGTTGCCTCATGCTGGATGAGGTCAGGAAGTGTGGACAACTCCTATTCACCAATATTTAGTATTTAATTTTGTTCTCTGCAAAGAAAATTCCAATAGCAGACTGATGCCTTTTTGAGGGGAAAAAGAAAAACTCATAAAAGTGCATTAGGAAGAAAGCCTCATGCACTTAAAAAAAAAAAAAAAGTTTCATTTGCACTCAGCAGAATTTCTTGACTAGAGCTGCTAAATCAGCAGTGTAAGAGCAAGTTACACTTCCACTTGAACAACTATGGCTCTTTTGGCTATTGATGTTGCCTTATTCACATCACAAAAACATATAGCAGCTGCTCAGTCGCACCTTGAGGCTGGCGTGTTTCATTTATAATGCCCAGCACAAGCTGACTCTTTGAAAATCACCTTCATCTATTTAGGTTTTATCAAAATCTTGAGGTGCCCCTAGCTGTTGTGAAGGACGTTCTTAATTTAGAAGCAAGATGAATAGTGCCTTTGTCTGTGATATTAGCTTTCAAAGCAAGACGTTGGGGAAGGATTTGTTTGTTTTTGATAGCAGGAAGTAAATGCGGGTTACCAGGTACTGTATCGCCTCTCTGGTCTGGATGGTTTGAAATGGATAACACATTAAAATCCAAGCTTACCCATTTAGGCATTTTGCCCCCATCTGGATCGTGGTGGTGATATTGCAGCACGATGACAGTGACAACAACAGAAAGACCAACAATGATCATAGTGCTGGCAAAATACTGGGCTGCAAAGCAAGGGGATAGTTAGGGCGGTGTAGTGCGAGTGATACTGCGTTGTGTCTGTGTGCACGTCTGCTGTGGGTACAAACCCGCTGTATCAGGATCTGTGTGTGCCTGTGTTTCTGCTCAGGCCTTTGGTCAGCTCTGCGCTAGTGCTAGACGTTTGGCTGAGGGTACTGGGAAGGGTTCCTGTGCTGCAGCACAGGAGTGGCACTGCGTTGATTTTCTCAGGGCAAGCAAGAGGTGCCTGGATTAGCCCCCCTTGCGGCTCCCTGTGCAGGGCTGCGGGGCTCAACTCGCCCTCCCTCCGCGCAGTTTCTCTGTGCAACTGGGCAAGCACTGTGTGCAGGGGGCGGTTGTGGTTCCCAGCGCTCTCAGCAGCTACAGGAGCTGCAGCAGCTTCACCAGGAGACGGTGCCTCCCCTGGCCTCCCTCCCATTCCCCCCGACGCTTGGGGGCTCTCTATTTTGCCTTAGGGGCTCTCTATTTTGCCTTAGACTTTTCTCCAGGACAGGGAGCTGCAGGTGTAGAGGAGGTCACGTCTCTGCAGGGGACTCTTTTTCAGGCAGCATTAGGCCACCCTGGGACTGCAGATTTCCCCAGTACAGCCCAGTGGTTCTGGGAGTGCAGCAAGCTGCTGCGTATGCTGTCCTTGCCCTGCTGCTGGCCGTGCTGCAAAGTCATGCCAGCTCATTTGACGTGAAATAAAAGCGCATAAAGTGGGAGTCAGCTTACCAATTAACGGCACGGAATCAGATGTTGCTGGCATAATTTCAGCCACAAGTAACATGAAGACAGTGAGAGACAATAAAACTGTTATACCTGAAAAATAAACACAGAGTTTGGATTTAGATGAGTGGTGTGCAGTTACAAGGCAATAAGATGAAGAAAATAAATTGGAAGGGGTAGTCTCAGCAAGATGTATCCTTGCTGTTACCCTTGCACCTGTGCTCATAGTCCTGTCTCAGGCTAGTTCAGCTCCAGGGTGGTAGCGATGCTTGTGTGAATGCAAGAATTCTTACACTGCTTCAATGGGTAAGCAAAGTTCAGAACTGGTACAGATTGATATATTTTTAAATCTGGTAGCAATGATTGCAAAACTGTTCAGTTTTTAATCATTATTTTCTAAAAAAAAAAACTGAGCTAAATCAAAGTACTTCTTGCTATCTATTTGCTTTAGGAATGTGGTATAATTTTGAGTGTAAGAATGCGAGCCACCTCGATTCTTCAGCGTGGAGGCCACAGCTGTGATAGGATTCTAACTGAGCAAATTCACTTTTCAGGACAGACTTTAACTATACTTCTTAAGCTTTACTCTGTGAATGTGAGTGATTTTTTTTTTTTAAGCCAATGTAAAACATTGTACCCTGCTGCTTAAATAAGTTAGAAGCTGTCCTGCTTGTGTTGGATTGCCTGAAATCTTTCCCTCCCGCAACTTCAGCCTCCCATAAGCTCCCAGCAGGGGCAACCAGGGCTACCATGCGTGAGCATCACACATGGAAATAGTTTATGAGCTAGAGAAGGACACACATAGTATTCATGCTTGCCTACTAAACTCTTTAAATATACTAAAGTATAGCTACATTTTTGGTTCAGTAATATTTACAATATCCTATTAAGGAATTACCTAGTGAGATCTTTTCTCCAGAGTCTGCTGGAAGCAGAAAAACGAGTAAGGCAAGTGATGATATCAATACACAGGGAATGAGAAGATTGAGTCCGTAATAGAGAGTCCTACGTCTCATCGTTACTGTGAACGTTACGTCTGGGTAAGGTTCTTTGCAGCATTCGTAAAAACTCTCAGTTCTTTTCCCAGGAACTCCTATATAGGAGTGAAAAGAAATAGGTTGCTTTCAATAAACTCTGCGTTAGTGTTGCAATTACTTTAGATAGAAAAGGATAAATATAGCTTTCTAAGTTTTACCTGGGTAAAACTACTTCTTTAAATTAATTTCCAGTTAAGTGTTTCTGGTTGGACAATAAAGGAAAGTCACATGACAGATACTCACTGAATTCAGGAAGCAATTTTATCCTTGCTTTATGTTGATTTTCATCCTAGGCCTGTTCTCAGGGCTTCAAATGCCACTAGAGCTTCAAAGTTAAAGGCACCGTGTTTTTTCAAATCCTCTACTCAGTGTCTTGGTTTGGATGTTTACAAAGCCTCTGAGGTGGTATATCTCTCTAGAAATTACTGGTTAATTAGATTACAGAATCAATATAAAGCTGTACTGATAACATTGATTTTAGTAATAGAGTAGTTCAGTAGCTATATGACTCCATAATGCCTGATCTTTATTTACACAAAGATTAATTTCATTTCTATCTTCATTTACCAATAATTGCTTCCATCCATTTTTGCAATGAAGAGGAGGCTGCAAATTCACAGAATCTATGAGAAATTATGGGCTTACCTACTAAATCCCACTCCCCATTTGAAATGTAGCCAGAAATGTCTGCTTCTTGCATTTGTAAGTCCAGGGACCAGCCTCCATACGTCCAGGATCCAAACTTCAAGTTGCACTTCTGAACATCAAATGGAAACCAACGCACGTCTATGTAGCATGAGCTTTTAAATATGCCTAAATTGGGTTGTAAACAAGAACACTAAATTGAAATGCTTGTTCCACATAATTCTATGTCTATGGCTTTGCTACTTTGTCCTATGTTGCACCCTTTGGTATTTACTTGTATATTTAAATGTCACTCAGGATATAGAAAGGTTATGCAAAGGTTATGCAAAAGGAAAGAATTGCACCATTCATTTATTGATAAACTATTTTTGAACTACATTTACATTTTGTCACATAGTAGAAAAAGATTTATTGAAGAAAGAGCTCAGATTTTTAGTAACTATTTGTCATTTTGAAATGATGCAATCTGTTTTTCCTATTGCTGTTACTGTATAAAAAGATAAATCTTGAAAGRCCCTCCCCACCCTGCCCGACTATACATTGGGGATGTCAGTGATAGATTTCTGGTATCAAATGAAGATCAAGCACAGTCTAGTTTCAAGCTAAGAACTGTTTTGATAAAATATAGGGTAAATCAGATAGTAGATAAATCCAAGATGTTACTAAGCATCTTTTTGTGAAGTGGACTTTTTAGTAGAAGAAAGAGCTATATTCATGAAGTATATGTTTATTAAGAGATATTACTTTTACTTTAGAAAACAATATTTCCTTATATAAAAGGCTTTTAAAAAGTCTTCTCTCATATATCCACATTTCCAAAATCAATATATTATGACAAGAGAATTTACATAGTATTAAAAGAAGTATCTTCTTTGATGGTTTTTGTAGAAGTATTTTCCATGATACATCTAGGCTTAAATCTATCGAATGATGTCTGGTTAGATAAATGAAATATTCAAGTATTGATGTAAAATTAAAACTGCATCATACATGAGTTAGCTGATTAATTCAAATTAATCATGTCAAAACAGCTGACTTCTTACCGGGTGGCAGGTATTGGCAATGTCCTGAAGAATTGACTAAAACATTAGTATGAAATGTAGCATCAAATCTTTCATCAGCACTAGGACAGAGAAGCAAAATGAGTGATGTACTCTCTGATTGGCTCAATAATACCCGAGAATACCGAGTCTGTTCCTTTGAAAAGGATAACTTCTGCCCAAAATAAAACTTGACAGCTTGTCTCATGGTACCAATATTCTGTGGCCTCAAGGTGACTGGGCTATTAATATTAGATTTGTTCCTGGTTAAAAACCTGCCTTGTTCTGTCCCTGGTCTCCAGACTGGCCAGGTTCATCACTGCACCTTGGCTCTGCTGGCTTCCATGAGCAAAGTAAGAACTTCATAAAAACTGCTCAAGCATCTGCACGGGGAGATCCCCTCTCCTCTCACCGCCCACATTACCAGCCAGACAAATAGATACAAATGTATTTACTGCAGTGTGCAAAAATGACAAATATGTACATATCAAGTAAAATCCTACTGAGATTTATCTGGAATTATTTCTAGATTATTAAAAAAAAAAAAAAAAA